GTTACTGTGCATAAGTACCGTCACATTGTTGAGAGTAGTCTTTCCATGGTGTATGCAAGTGATCTACCTCAATTCCTTTAGCCAAGCCTTTTCCACCGCTGTATATCTCATTAATGGATTGCCAAGCCTTACATTGTCATTCATATCTCCCTTCCAAAAGCTCTTTTGTAATAAACCGGATTACTCTTTTCTCCGGGTATTTGGATGCGTATGCTTCTCACACATTTATTCATCTCAAAGAAATAAATTTTCACCTAAGGCTTATGAGTTTGAGTTTATTGGATACAACTTCGAATATAAAGGTTACCGATGTTATGACAAATTGTCATGACACTTTTTCGTTGCAAGACATGTAACATTTTATGAAACTAGGTTCTACTTTATGATCCAGTGTTCCCAAAATAACACAAATAGCATGTCAAATAATATGTCTGCACCTATTTCAATGTCTTTGTAATTGCAAAAAAAAGTACACTCACAAGCTCCTATCTTCTCTGAAGTTACAGATGAACCATCTCAGCAACATCACCCTCATCAGTCTTCCCTTTACTTTGACAGGTCTGATCAAGAACCTATTTCCTCGACATATGTTTCAACACTTTCTATTTCTTCTCCTACTTCAAACTTAAATGCATCTCCCATAGTCCAACATGATTTATCTAAAGGACCCTTAACAGTTTCACCTATACCACCATGCCGTTCCTCTCGCTCCATACAGCCTCCTAGACATCTGTCAGACTTCCAGATTTAACTTCCAGATTTACTCTGCAATCGTTTCTTCTCCTGACACCATCTCCAATATCTTAAGAGAAAATACCCCATTGAAAGTTATACCTCGTGAGAGAGATTGTCTTCCGATCATCAAGCATTTGCAATACAAATTTCTCAAATTCGAGAACCAACCACCTATGAAGAAGTTGTCTCTGACACTTTATGGCTGGCCTCAATGAAAGAAGACATTCATGCACTTAAAAGGAATCACACTTAGTGCCATTGCCTCTAAGAAAAAATGTAGTGGGCTCAAAATGGGTGTATAAAGTTAAGGTCAGATCAGATAGCTCAATTGAAAGGTTGAAGTTCAGACAAGTTCAGACAAGTGGCCAAGGGCTTTAGTCAAGAATATGACATTAATTATGATGAAACTTTCAATCCAGATGTGAAGGCACCCACTATTCGATCCATCCTGGCTCTGTCATCTATGTTTAATTAGAAACTCCATCAACTTGATGTGAAAAATGCATTCCTTCATAGTGATTTGAAATAAGAAGTGTACATGCAACAACCCAAAGGATTTGAAGATCCCTTACGACCACATCATGCTTGCAAATTAAAAAAGGCGATTTATGGATTCAAACAAGCTCATCAGGCATGGTTTGATAAATTCAGTTGTCTACTCCATAGTATTGGTTTTCAAAGAAGCAAGGTTGACTACTCTTTATTTCTTAAAAGATCATCCTCATGTATTGTTATCCTTCTAATTGATGTAGATGACATCATTGTTACTGGAAATGATATTAAAGGCATTGAACATATTAAGAAATAATTGAAATTGAATTTTGAAATGAAGGATCTTGGATAACTAAAATATTTTTTGGGGATTGAAATTCATCGAAAGAAAAAGGCATTGTTCTCATCCAACAAAAGTATATTCTTGATTTACTCTCTAAAACAAGGATGTTGGGATGCAAGCCTATTTATACCCCGGTTGAAGTAAATAAGAAGTTAAGGATTGAAGAAGGGGAATTGTTATCTAATCCTTCATTGTACAGAAGTGTAGTTGGTGGTCTTCAATATCTTACATTTACATGTCCTGACATTGTTTATGCAGTGAATACAGTATGTCAGTTCATGCAGGCTCTTCGACAACCTCTTTAGGAAGCCACAAAAAGGATTTTGAGGTATTTAAAGGGTTCTATACATGATGGCTTATTCTATACTTCGTCCAGTTCACCTGACTCTGATGCTGATTGGGCTAGTTGCCCTAATGATCATAGGTTCAATACAGGATTTTGTATCTTCTTAGAAAAGAGTTTGATTTCTTGGAGTAGCAAAAAACAAGCCTTAGTAACTAAATCTAGTACATAATCAAAATATAGAGCAATGAGTATTGTCGTGATAGAAATTACTTGGCTACGTATGCTCCTTAAGAAAATTGGTGTTTCCACAATACAAACCATTCTAGTTTGTGATAATCAAAGTGTCATTCACCTAGCCACCAATCTTATCTTTTACGCTCGTAGTAAACACATAGAAGTTGATTATCACTTCATTAGAGAAAAAGTTGTATCAGTTACTATTTCAATGACATTTGTTCTTTCATCCCATCAACTGGAAGACATGTTAACTAAAACACTAACTAGATCAAGACACCATGAGTACATAGACAAGCTCTCGATGCACAAGACACATGCTCGGCTTGAGGGGGATGTTAAGGATCAGATTGTCTTTTATAATATTGTATAGGGTATTTATTCATTCTTTACCCTCAAGGGTATTTTTGTCCACTGTACATATATATACTAATATGTAAAACTAATTATTGAGTGGAATGAATGATTCGTGGTCTTCTCTTCACTTTCTCTCTCTAAGGTTTCATAAGTTTTACATAAAGTACCGTATAACATGTGCTAAACATCAAGGTATTTAAATTATTGTAAGAATTCGCTGGTCATTACAGTAGTTAAATTACTATATAAAATTCGATAATCATTACGGTAAGTAAACTACCGTATAAAATTCGACAATCATTATGGTACTTAAATTACTATAATGTTCTTCACGGAAAAACGACTACCGTGAAGGTTATTTTAGTAAAAAAAAAGCTGAAAATGAAAAAAAATGGTGTAGACAAGGTTTATAAAAGTTGGGTTTTTTTTTTTCCAATTTTACTAAAACTTGAGTATATTTGTGATAATTTTCATGATTCTATTGTCTTATTGGTCATTTTTTCGAGGCGAGTATATATACCCTCCGGAGCATAGCACATGAGAGAAGCATTTGCCCTCGGGAGAGTATAGAACTGTGGGAAATTACCCAAAATTACTCCAAAAAAAATTATAATTCCATAAAAAAACTTTCCTTTGAATTTCATTTTAGGTGGCATGTTTACTTCACCAATACTTACCCCAACTGTACAAAATGTCATATTCCCCAATTTCTTCAATAAATACCACCAATTAATATTCTAATACCTTTACAATTCTGATCCCTGAAAATTAGCTCACGTATCATCTCTCTCTCTTTTCTCTCTCTAAAACCCTAGCAGTCCCTCTTCTCTGCCTTGATGAATCCATTCATAGCTTCATCTCTGTAATATGGGCTCATCTTCTTGGCTCCGTTTCCTCTAGTTCTCTTCCATTTCGAATGTTGATTGTGTTTGTTTTTCGAGTGGCAAGATATAAAAATCAATGTCATCAGAAATGAGTTGGCGACTAGATCAGACCGGTGAGAGGTCTGATCATTAGTTGAACCAATTGGATTAGAAATTAGAAAAATAAGCAAAATATTAAGAACAATTGTTTCATGCGGGCTGGACCACATTTCTACAATATGCAGTCCAGATGTATAAAGCATCCATCTTAAAGATAGATACACATAGGTGGTCCATCCAAAAATTATTGCAACTAACGGACCAAATGTATGACCTAAAATCAATATATCACTATTATTAAGTTGAAGTGAAGCGATCTCGTATTCCATTTTCTTCCTCAGGTTAAACGTAAACTAGAAGTATTTCTCGGATTTTAAATTTCGGGGATTTAACCTCTTGAACCTAATAATCAAGCTTCAAACTAAATAAAATCTCAATCAGACCGGTGAGTGCCTTAATAAAACTGACATCAAAATATTTAACAAGGGCCATTCAATTTTTGGATGGTTGATATAAACGTTTCACATCTTAAGTCCTTTTTTTTTTTTTTTCAATCATATTCTAAAGTGGATCCCAAAACTATAAATTAAAAAGACTTCTCATAAGTGTGTAAATTATAAATTAATCTTTTAAAAATCGGACTGGTAGGTCAAATCAATCACCTTCACATACCCATTTGAAAGCGAAGACAGGAAGGAATTCAAAGAAAATAATAAAATTGTAAAATTTTAATCTTAGTTGTTTACAACTTTTAAGTATTCATGAGACATTAATACTGAAAGCATAATATTTTTAGAGGGAAATGGTCGGAGTCCCTATTCTTTGAGGGAATCGGACCAATCTTCTACCGTTCGGGAAAATCTGGCTATCTAGTCCAATATACGAATCAATGGTAAAAATACAAGTCTAGCCAACCCAATATCAAATCTTCTACCCAACTCAGAGACTGCAGATGTTGACAAAAAATCACTATGTCGCTACTAATATTGAAGGATCATATGAAAAATCAAACTATATTTATTTTCTCATCCTAAAACACTTTCAAAGCATGTTCTTAGATCTAAAAATATTGGATTTTTCTTTTGAGGTTGGTCGCTAGGTTGAGAGGTTACATCTCCGAATGTCGTTAAATAATCTTAAATGTAACTTTTACCAAGGAAATTTTATAGGAAAAGTTATTTGTGATTCAACAGGTGCAAGAGCCCATTGATTCACCAACGTCCGTCTCTAAGATAGGATGCTATAAATAACCCACGGGGTAAAATGAATTTCCATGGTGTAGAATTTTTTTAAAAAATCATATTTTAAATATTACAAATTTGATTTATTTTTCATAGAAACCCCCTCCAAAAAATATCCCAATTTTATTTTATTACACCAGTAAACATATATTAAAAAAACATGGTTTAATTCAATAGTGAGTGGCATAATATCGAACTAAATTTATATTGGATATTACTTGAAATGGATATGATCTTGTCAGCAGACTGATCAGATAAGATGGACCTTCACTGATTAAGTAATCAAAGATTCAATAACACAATAAAAAACTTGATAGAGCATATGTAACGTTTTGAAATTTGCGATTAGACCTTCAATTCCACTTGCATTACTATTTTTTACCCACTGCTTGTACAATAACATCAACTACAGCAAGTGGCTTCTGTTGGATCTACTTATCTAAATTATAGGAAGTATTCTTATAGTTTCCCAATCTGGTTTCCTTTTTCTGATCATTGGTACTTTTTCTATGTGCTTATAAATAGTGCCTTCACAATTAACAAACCCCACAAATGAGAGTTCTGAGAGTCAATTTGATTGAGTCTATTGCCTCATGAATGTTCAATCCCTATCTTATTTTGAGCTAAATTTCATCAACATCAAAAGATGATGTACAAATAAGTGTATATCCTTTCCTTACAAAACTGAGTCCATGTACACCAACTCCACAAGATCTTAACCAACACTCTGAAAAAGTCAAACACTAGTAGATAGGATGTAGTTACCCCTTCTCTGGCCAGCACATCCACTCCTTCATTACTCACCATGAATGTAAGGTTGCCCTTAGCTTTGCAAAATATTCCAAGATTTTTTAGACCATTGTTTAGCTGCCAAGAGAACCCAATAGCATTGTATAAGTCCCCCTCGATGCATATTGCACCCCTTCTCTTCTTCAGAAGTCGTAGCCTATAAGCATTCAGCACATCCTCATCTCATTTGACTTGCAAGCATACAGGCCCATACGAAGTCATGAACATCTTCCCATGGTGCTCCCTGAGCAGGTTAAGTCACCCTCAGGGGAAGTACCAATTTGTTGGACCAAACTTCTTTTCAGAAATCTGTTCTGCCAATCTTCTTCCAATTTGTTTTAAAATCCCTAACAGCTTATCCTTACTCTTTTGATCTAGACTATGGCATATAAGTTGTGTTGTCCTTTATATCTTCCACCTCCTCGTTTTGATCCTAAGCATCATGTTGTTCCTTTCAAGCCATATAAGCCTCACAATCACAAAAAATTTCAGTCTCCATACAATAAGTGAAACTAACTCAAGAGGGACTCCACCGAGGCTGCCGATACCCATTTGAAATAACATAGGCTTAATGCAAAAGACCAAGTAATTGTTGCAGAGGATCCAGGCAAAATAGATGACTTAGACTTACTGATCCCATTGCTTCCTTGCATATAAATAAGCATACGTTTGAAATTCAGCATCCCTTTCTTTCTTAGGTTGTCCACTGTCAAGATTTTGTTTGACACGACAGGTCATCCAAGGGCCTTTGTTTTTAGAGGGAATGGGTGGACCACATTGGCTGTGACAGAATCTCCTCTGTGCATGATGCCAATAAGCTATATACATGAATATCACTACAAAGGACACCTTTACTAATGGAATCCAAATCAGTCCATCTTTTTATTGCAAGAAAATAATCAGTGGAGCTCATGTTATAGCTTTTGACATACCTCTATTTCATCGTCCTTTGATGCCCTTCTGAAGCAAGGGATTCAAATATAGCTTGCAGCCCTGCTCTTCCACCACATCTGCCACCGTAACATCAGGCCTTGAAGCCACCATGGTTAGCATAGAGTGTTCTTCTTTTAATGTAGCGTAGCCCAAACATAGGCCCTTCCGAAAGTATGTTTTCTCACCAATGACCCGCATCCGTACTCTGCTCTTGATGCCTAAGCAGTAGTCATTCATCCATTCCATGCACCTTAGAATCCCCCTTTTGTCCTATGAGATCTAAGAAACCTTCCAGTTTCATCCCGTGGAGACCTCACGAGATGCGAGTCAGTGGCAGACGGTGCGACGCTTCTCATACCACACAGAAAAAATCACCAGCCACAATTCATAAAGACAAATATGCAATGGAAGCCAGCTTCTGGAAACCAAGAAAACCCCTTCTCAATATAGGGACCACAACACTTTCTCCGTCCTTTAAAGAAAACTTTGGATCCTCTATCATCCACAAGCTAATCAGATCACAGGAGCTCATTTCTAGAGTAACATCCCACCCCAAGTCTATAATGCATGACTAGTGGAAATAAAATAATTTCCTAATGCCATTAATTATTTTCCTTCATTGTGGCTAATGGTTAGCACTTTCTTTGTTACTATGACAATACATATTCCCCAGTCCATCAAAACCGCATTTTTTTGCCTTTTCTATTAATAATGATGTCAATTTTTTTTCCTAATCTCCCTCCTCTTCACAATCAAGTTCCAACCTTTTCTACTCCTTTGGCAAAGGTATGGTCAAAGGCCAGTCAGCTTAGGTTACAATAAAATAATGATACAAAAGACAGTGTGTAAAGGTTCGGATCAGACGAAAAATTGTTGGGGATCTTCCGGGGATCCATCTTTCTGAAAGTTATTGAGATCCTGCAAAATCAAAATTTGGGAGTGTTAAGAGTTTTGATGCTAAATACAGTTTGCAGAATTTTTCAAATCAATCGAATTCGGAAGTTTAGGTTTCAAAATCAAATAGTGGAGCATCACAATGTTAGCTGTGTTCTAACTTCTTCCCAGTATGTTTAATGATTCTGCATTTTTTTGCTAAGCATGTTGTTTTACATAAGTTTTCCAACAGTCTGAAATATAGTTCTCGTTTCTTCATTTATAAAATGAGATAAAAAAAGGGACAAAAGCACGTTTCTATTTACATGAAAGGCCTATTTCTGCAATTTTAGAGGAACTTTTAGATGCAAAACACATAATTAGAATTGACATAAATTACCTCTTTGCCAGAACACCTGGAACAGAGTGCTTGGCCACATCAGAACTGTTGCCATTCAAGATTAGCACTGATCTGTATGAGGAACGGAAATAATCAGCTACATAAATAACACATAATCAGTATTGATCTTGAACAGAAATAATCAGTTGCATAACTAACAAATAGCTTAAGTGTCGAGGAAAAAATATTTTACACACCAAAAAGAGAAAACAATGCCAAAACACATCACCTATCCCCAAATAAACCCTAGTTCCCATTTCTTTACACCCCTACTGAGCACGACATTCACTGTTGGGCAACAAGCCAGGGGGCAAACTCTAGATTTCTACCCAATCAATTAACAAAAAAACTTGTAATAAAGATGAAAAAGGACACACTACATTGTTTCCAAAGAAATGCAACAAATAGTAAGCATACTCGACAGGCAAAGGGATCGAAAATGAACCAGCAAAATCTCCTGGTCCCACGATTTTCAGGTTAGCACCAAAAACTATGTTGCGTTCACTGAGGAATGACACCGTGCAAAAAGGGCGGACAAAGTCATGGTGGTCAATATGGGGTGGTATACAATCTCCTTCATCGTAGATGTTAACGATGCAGCTGTTGGGAATACAATCCGTAGGAAGGACATGCTACCTGACCACTGTTTTGATCATTGTTTTGAAGGGGGGAGGAATGGGGTCCACTTCCTCGTTACGAATGATGCCTGGTGGGTTTCCATTCTTATCCTGTTCAAAGAAGATTCATATAATGTCAAAGTTTCTAATGTGCAGTATTCTCTTAATTGCATCTAGAAGAACATTAACTCATGAAAAGATGATTCTCTAAAATATAGTATTCTATATATTTACCACTGCATAATTGTAGCAGCAACCAAAGTGCATGGTCACACGCCCCTTCCCATGCATCCATTTCTGTGATTGTGAATAAGTTCACTCTGAAAAAAAAATAAAAATTAAATGGCTTTAGTACATATCATACAAACCATGGCCACCGTGCCAAGCCATTAATAACACTAAAAATTAGGAGAAAAAACAATTATCAGAAAGCAAAATTTCCAAAAGCCACATACATAGAATTCCAAAAATCAGACTTGAAAATATAGTATTATATGAAAATTCTCTCTTTGCTTGCAGAGGTTTTCCACAGGGCATTAGCATGAAATATGGCACCGATTCTCCGGGATATGAAACCAGAATCCAATATACAGAAAATTTGGATGATAGTATCCTTGATAGATCTAAGCTAATGAGATAAATATAAGTTGTAGAAGTAAATCAGACAATATACATCAAAGTTATAGAAGTAAATGAATCTCATTGCGAAATCAACCTTTAGAAGAAAGTGGAGATAACCATGACAAATGCCCAACAATAACCATATATCTTTTTGACATGAATCATCAATTTCTTGCCAGCTTCCCAAAGTGAATCTGCGAAAACACTCCACATTTCAAATGATAGTACAAATGCTGAATGGACAATTTGTCCAGAGGAATTTAGATGCCCTGTTAATTGTCATCACACCTGTTTTCAGGTGCCAACAAAACATGGGAAAGGCAGAAAAATACAGTGCCAGAGCACCTCCGTTTCTAAATGTGGACAAGGCCCTTAAACCAGGCCGAAACCAGGTTCGCTGCAAAGTCCATATAATACTTGCTAGGTCTGCTGAGACTTGACCAGTTCCCAATGATTTCATATGAACATGATATCCTGCCAGGTCCAAGTGACTCACCCAAGTCCGAGTCAAACTCAGCAAGTCTTAAAAACACCGTACCAGTAAGATGCCATAGGATTCCTATGAGAATATGATTATAAAAATCAACCAAAAACATCTGTGTCTTCCACAAGTCTTCCAAATGAGGAAACTATGAGCAACTAGTGTGGTGACAAATGGGGAGCAAGGAAACATAGGTGGGGGGTGGGGGGTGGGGGAGATAAGAACAAAAGCATTACGGCATCACTGGGTGCTTGGGATATTTATTGGAAAGTTATGGTGAACCTGGATTAAAAAAATGAGGCATGAACAAATACTCACTAGAATCCCATTCATTTAAGTATGTGCAACAATATCTTCTAGAAGAATTTACTTTTTGTACTCCCATTTGCTTGTAATATTGTTGTTTCCCAGTGAGACAGGGCAAGGGGTGACAGAGCACTAGAATGAACAGCATGATGGGTGACATGAACGAGGGGTGACTTATTGTAGTCTCATATGCTCTATGCAGGCACACACAATAAAATGAAGAAAAACAATTTACCCAGTAGATACACTATAAAATAGCACAGAAAATACAACATGAAGTCCTAAAAATTGGAATCATATATTTTCCCTTTCTGCCCATAAGTAACAACGGCTAATGTGAAGGGATGTGAACATTGGTTGCAAGTGCAAACAAGGCATAGTTCATTGAGAAAGGATAAAACAATAATAGCCCACATAGTTCCCTTGGGAAAATGATCTACTCAGGAGGATTTTTCAATCTGAAATTTTGGGACCTCCCTAAGAATATCATCAAATGAAAAAAAAAAAGAAAGAAATACAAAGAAAGTAGGTTGTTCAGTTGAAGAGTTTACAACCCCAAAAATTGGGAGCCTAAAAATACTCCTAGATTGGGTTTTATTTGAAGAAGTGAATGGAGGAGTGCACCCAATGGAGCATAGAATCTTTTGACAAAAATAAAGATACAATCAAATGATTATACATATGTCAGATACATTCAAAGGATTATATATATCTCAGATTCTTTTGTTGGATGACTGTCACCAATATGCCATGAGTCTATTTATGCTGAATTCATCAATATGTACATTGTGGCTCTACATTGCCGAAGAACAAAAGGCTATGGAAGTAGCTGCTCCAACATTAAAAAGATATAGATAAACATAACTCAACACCAGGAACTACACATATCATATATCATACAACTCTAAGCTACCACACAGAAACATCGAAACCATAGAGAGTAAGAAAGAGGCATACCCCTTAGTTCATTTTTCCTCCCCATCTCTGGAAGGCTGTAAACATAATCAACAATGGTCTTCTGTTCAGTAGCGTTGAAAACACAAGTGTGCAGCTCAAGTCCCTTGACAATGTTAACCAGTTTCCCATTGATCCTTTCCAAGCATACATAGTCCTTTTTCCTCGCCACTTGGGTTAAACGAATCCACTCTCTCTCATCTCTCATCAATGAATTCTTCTTTTGAACTTCAGAGTTGAGTGATTCATCAAATTCCTTTGTCTGGGAAAACCGCCCACTTCTATCCCTCATGTCTCGCCCATGAGCAACCCGACGGTCCCTATACCTGCTACCTTCTAACGAGGAGAGAGAGGTTTCTCCTGAACGCATAGGAACCCTAGAACCAGATGTGTTGGTTAAGCTTTCATCAAATTCCTCTGTCTGGGAAACCTGCCTACTTCTATGCGTCTTTCCTCGCCAATGAGCAACTCGACGGTCCCCATAGTTGCTACCTTCTAAGGAGGAGAGAGAGGCTTCTCCTGAGCGTGTAGGAACCCTAGAAGCAGATGTGTTGGTTGAGCTTTTGTATGATTTCCTAAAGTTCCCATTTGACTAGCTATTGGAGCTCCTATCCGACATAGTTAAACTTGAAGAAGCTGCAACTAAGTACCTTTGATCCTCACAAAAATGTCCATTTGATAATGAATCTTGATCCAATTTCCCTATAAAAAATAAAGAAAGGAATCAATTAACCAAAACAGCAGATAAACATCAGAAGACTATGAAGAAAATTGTGAAGGACCATTAAAATATAACTAACAATCAATTATCCAGAAAAAACACCCCATAAGATCACAAACTAAGGTACCCACACACAAGTGAGATTACTTTTTATAGACTACAGATAATGCTCCTACCTAGGAAAAATCTGAAAGAAGGATTGAAGGCGAGCATAACTTTTCACTGTATAAGAACAATATTACCAACTTTTTATTCACCCCGCTCCTAATACAAATTCAACCAACTTCGTCATAAGGAAAATGGATTGTAAATACTAAATCCTTCAATAAATGGATGAATTCTGCAAAACATGCATAAACCAAAAAACTTGAACAGAACTGTCATCAAGAGAAAAGCTCCGGTTACCACGATATGCATCCAGATAAAACTATCATAATTCACATTTTAGAAATCCAAAGGCTAAAAACTCATTGTTAAAGCTCAGAGATTGATCTGGTAGTCCCTAAAAGAATGTCTTAGCACTCGATGTTTTTGTTTAAAAAAAACAAGAATTTATAGCTCGACATTTGCTTCTTAAACATACGAGAAAATAAATAAAAGAAAAAATGATGGAGGGCAAATTATCCTTTAATTTCTAGCATTTTTTAGTTTTTTTTAGGAATTCTAGGGTTTTTATATTTTTTTTATCTATTTCATGAGAACTACTCATGAGTACTATTCATAATACTATATATCAGTCAAAACAAAACCCAATTTCCAGTTCACTTACCAGAACCAATAACAAATTACCCTAATGTAAAAACATGCAACAGTGAAAAACCCTAACTATATCAGTAGAAACAAAAAACAATTCCCAATTCACTTTTCAAACAAACAAGCCAAGTACCCAATTCCAATTAATTGAATCTGATTACAATGATCTAAGAGAAAACAAATTACACCAAAACAAATACAGTTGGGCATAGAGTGAAAAAGCAACACAATTCTGCTCTAAAGGAAGCCCTAACCACGTAATTCAAAGCAAAACACGAACCAATTCTCACAGAAAAGATAGAAACAAAACCCAACCCAGCAACACAAACCCTAAAAACATCAACGAAAGGAAGCAAACCCTAATTTTGTCTGCATGTAAAGAAAGAAAACCCTAATTCAACGAAAGAAACACTCACCAGAAGCCAACTGACGAATACGATCTGACAAAATCTCCGCGAACCTCCTGCAAAGGCCCTCAGTGAGAAAGGGAATAAACTGAGCCAAAGATTGGCTTGAGTCTTGAGGCCCTAAGGCTTTCCCACTTTTCACAGCAATTCTCCGAAGAGAGAAAGAAGATGAGAGAGATTGGGGAGAGAGAATTATGCTCGAAAGAGAGAAAGAAGACGAGAGAGATTGCAAAGAGATTGTAGAGAGAGAATTATGCTCGAAAGAGAGATTGTAGTGAGAGATTGCAGAGAAAGAAAGAAGATTGCAGAGAGAGATATGCTCGAAAGAAGATCAGAGAGATTGTAGAGAGACAGAATAGTCGAGGCGTCGATGGTCATCTACAAATAGAGAGAGAACGGTCTATCTACCGCATAACCATTATCATCCGTCCGATCTGAATCGGACGACTTCACTCAAATAACGCCCGCGTATAAGATTATTCCCGCCGAAATAGGCGCGTACTCTCTCTCTGGAAATAGTAAGCATCGCTCACTTACTCTCCCTAGTTTCTCTCTCCTCCTTTGTCTTTTCATATCTTTCCATATCTCAGTCTCTCTCTTCCTTAATTCTTTTCCCCTCTCTCCCTCCCTCCCTCCCTCCCTCCCTCTGATGTATTCTCTCTCTCTCTCTCTCTCTCTCGCTTTTTCCTATCTTTCCATATCTCTTTTTTTTGTTTATAAAAAAAATTTGGGTTTGGTTTTGATAAGGTCGCAACCGCAAACGATCCGTGTCGTAACATATAAGTTTGATGGAAAATTTTCTTTAAGATTATCTCAAAATCTATATTCATATTTAATTTACAAAATTGGAAACATAACCTCTACCCTGAAATTTCCATCCCCATTGGCCCATTGCGATCACCAAAATCCCTGGTACCCCTCAAGTTTTAAAAACTTTAGATCCATTAGCTCTCTAATTATGTTTTTCTTTGTTCTTTTTACAGATTTGACCACAAAATGGCAAACTCATGCATTAGACATTCGTATTTTATTATTTTTTTGGTGACTTGATATACAAATTTTTTATGATGATGATGATGATGATAATAATAAGAGAAAATTACGTTAATATCTGTTATACTTTCCGTTATTTTGGATATATCTAATAGTTTTCGTTATTACCTGGATGTTTGTTTTTTACCTTTTATATCGTAATTTTTTATAAAAGACGACTTTACCCATTTTTGGGTGTTCAACAACCGAATTCAAAGTATTTTCGGTTGTTTACGGGATTAACTCGTTTAAGCTTCATACTATGGTTTCGGTTGTTCAATAACCAAAATTACTGTTTTCGGTCGTTCAAAAACCGAAAACGTGATTTCGGTTGATGAACAATTGAAATTCTGCAGGGCTCATTTTAAAATACTGGAACTATTTCTTGGGCTGCACCGGTCCCTGTATTTGTCATTCCCCCCATTTTTCACTCTCTTTTACCTTTCTCATAATCACAATAGCTATTTATATCTAGATAGAAGTATTTTGATGGATCATAATTGTATTTGACGCATTTTGAGGGCAATTGGCGGATTTCAAATTTGTAGTGAAGGTATGTAAAATCTGATTTCTTGTTCAATTTTTAGAAGTTAACATTGTATAAGATTGTGATTTAGGGTTTCGCACTTGAGCAGAAGCGGTCGATTTAGGGTTTATTTGATGGATTTTACATATCCATAAATGACAATATGTTTGGTGATAGTTAGGTCTTTTAGGAAGTGTAATTATTTGGGGTTTTTATAACTGTAAATTTGGGGTTATTTTTAGTTTTTGAATGATATACATGAGTTATGGAGTTATGTTTATTTCTTATTTGTCGTTTAAAATTTTTAAAATTTGGGGTTATTGAGAACTACAAATTTGGGGGTTTTATTAGAACTCTAAATGAATTCATCTGCAATTTGAAATCAATAACTTAATATAGTTAAATGTGTTGTTGGATGTTTCCTTTGTATTTGAAACTGCATAATTTATGCTATATTGGGTTTGCAATTTGAAATGCATAATATAATAATATTGCTTTCTATTTGTTTTTGTCTTTGAATCTTTGACCCATCAGTGCTTTATTTTGATTTTTACGGGTCATTTGTATTATTTTTTTAAGCTTTTAGATGTTGTTTGTTTCATTTTACGTTTTGGGGGTTTGGTTTTTCAATAGTTGAATGGGTTTGTGTTTTGTGACTGTATATAAATGAATCCATCTATAATTTGAAATCTGTAGCTTAATATAGCACCCTTTGTTATCGGATGTTGGATTTATCATTGAAAATGTATGACTTCTACTATGTTGGACTTGTAATTTGAAATTAGTAGCTTAATACAGATTGTTAGATGTTACTCTGTGTTGTTGGATGTTGTTGTCTATATTTTGTTGTAAATAACATTTGGGTTATAATAAAAGTAAAAAGCAATAGTTGTCTTTATTTCTTTCCCTTTGAACCAATCTTTTAGTTGTCTGAAATGGAGTTATAATGAATGGGTGTGGGTTTTGTAACTTTAAATTTCTTATAGCATATATTTTGAATAGGTACAGAGATGAATAGGTACAGAGATAGTATAGAACATTGTTTTGGTTATCATATAATAACAAAAATTTTGCCTTTTATACTTCATGCTCATTCCATTGTTAGTTATATATGATTTAGTGATATATGATTTACTGATATATGTGTTAGTAACTCCATTTATAGTTTGGTGGCTATTTACCTTGACCATTTTGCAAATGCTTGTGGGTTTAGGAGTACATAGATAATAAATAACTCTATCCATACTGGCTTCAATATTTTGGATAGAATAATTAGTGAGTAGATTTATTTGAGAGCTCATTCGATATGTAAATTTATTATCGCATTCTTATCTTATAGGAGTATTGTATATGAAAATGCATGATGCAATTTTAAAATGCATGATGAGTTATTGGTGTCTTGATTTCAGTGAATATGAGTCGTGTCCATCCAGAGGCGGGGTACCTAGGAGGTCCTCAGGACCCTAGCTTGCTACAGCTTCATCCAGAACATTCATCATATTTCATATAGGAGGGACAGGTATATGCATATATTCATCTGCTCTTTCCATTAGTTCCTTATTTTTCAATAAATTGTAGTTTATTTCAATAATTAAATGTGTATATATATTGTAACTTGTATGTGTTCTATTTGTTGTATTTCAGGAAAAACAAGAAATTAGAATCTATGAGAAGACTTTTTGATTGAACGATTGGCATCTAACCGATGAGCAAGTTCAATTAGTGAATGTGTCTGGGTTGGGTGCTCTATCTATCATCCGACCAGGTTAAATTGTTCATCCTTTGGTTGTAACCAATGCAGAGAGGTGGCGTTTAGAGACCAATTCATTCCATTACAACATTCAAATTGGTGAGAAGACACCAACTTTATTTGATGTGTACGAGATTTTAGGATTGACTGTGGATGGCGAGCCTGTCATATGTCGTCCTATCAGTGATCCCCACGAGTTCATAGAAAACAATTTAAGTATAGTCCCCACTGGAGGCAACCTGACAACCATAAAACATTCATGGTTGAAGCCAATTTTAGGGAATTGCCACCTAATGCAACCAATGTGGAAGTAGTCAGATATACTCGAGCCTATCTACTCTTCCTCACCATCGTTATCATTTTCGCTGATGCATTAGTTGCAACATGCCAACAAGGTACTTACAATCCTTTGAAGATATTGAGGAAGCTGGCAGATATGCATGAGGTGCTGCAGCACTCACCTATCTTTATCGTTCCCTTGAAAACACTTGTACTTTCAAGCGAAGACATTTTAGTGGTCTAGCCACTCTTATATAGGAAAATTAAATTTTTGTATAGACATAAGCATAATAGTTTAGACTACTTAGAAAAATATTTTTTACTTATTATATCTTGATATAATGCAGTGCTGGTATTATGAGCATATTATACATATGAGGCCCACACCACATAGTATCTATCCAAATATGCCTAAGGCAAAAATATGGGAGCCACCGAAGAATTATTATGGCAATCGATATAATCTGATGCCTCCCATTAGACAAGAATTCGATAACCTTCATCCTAATGAGGTTAGTTTGTACTTTGATATTCAGTACTTTCAATTATATATAAGTATTTGTAATTTTTTTATTGACTGATTGTCGTATGTGTGATTGCACTTCATATAACAGGTAATATGGAATCCCTATTTCAAGCCTGATAAGGTCATTTCAGTTGATAAGCATACAACATTCCAAATTGCAATGTGCATAACGACTCATATCTTTGATGATATTGCTGAGCCATACATGTCAGATCGTGTTTGCCGACAATTTGGAGCTAAACAAGGCATTCCACGAAATCCCTCATCTGTTGGTAGGAGGTCTAGCAAACAAGGTGGACAGCGAGATTGTCGAAATGTCAATTCTGATAAAATCTATCATTGGCTGTCTCGCCATGAGCACATGATGACAGACATTGAATCTGATACTACCAATGGGTTGCCTTCAGATGAGTACAAGGTTTGGTACAATCGAGTGTCTCATCCTATCATACATAATGTAGCTAACCCACCAATAGACATTTTGCAACCTCATAACCAAGAAGAAGAAGAGGTGGTTCCTGCACATGAACCACAATATATAATGAGACATCGAGGTTATGAGGATCAGTTGGTATGTATATATTAACCTACAAATTGCTTTAGTTTTGTACTTGCCTATCAGTTTATATACTTATATTAACCTCCAAAATGTTTTTGCAGGTTAGTGTAGTTCAGGCTAGTACAACTATGTTATAGAGGCACTGACACAGACAGAAGTGGTACCCTAAAGTTTATCAACGCGTTAACAATGTGTTTGAAATGTTGTCTAAGTTTGTGCCTGTCGACATGGAAGATATAGGAGCCAGGATGGAAATTTTACAACGTGAAGTTAATGACGAAGTTGTACAAGAAGAGGCCGGACAAGATGTAGTTGGTGAGAGTAATCGGACTGCTGCTGAAGTATTGGCTCCATCCACACAACCTGCAGTTGAGGAGCCTAGAAGACATAACATGAGAAAGAAGCAGTATCAGCTCAACAAAAGGCGGCCAATGTAAATGTATTTTTTGACAATGTAATGGTCATTTTTACCGTTGTAATATTATGAAAAGACAATGTAATTGTCATTGAATACATTTTTATTGGTTTGAAAGGATAATGTAATTGTACATG